GAAACAGATTTAGGGTATTAAGTAGACAAACATCTAAAAAATATTCCTATTTAAAATGCTGTTGTCTCAAAGTGTCAAGTTTAAATCTATTAAATGAAAAAAACATAAATAAGATAAAACAAATGATATTTTGATACAGAAAATTTTTTTCAAACTTAAATAACTATACATCTTTCCAAGTAGACCAACCAGTGCTTTAAATATCATCAACACTATTCAATTTAACACTAGTTTAATCACGATCTTCATGTCAGTCTGTATACGGGAAAGAATCACTACCCTGCCATCAAATAAACATACAAATCTTGAGCTTAATGTCATTTCATGGATCTGCTACAAAGACAGCAACACATGCTATCCTCAAACATGCTATCCTCAAAATCTATATGAGGTATTCTGATGTTCTTTTCATACATTTTCATACATGCTTTCCTCAAAATGTACATTTCATTTACTTTAAAATGGCTAATTCAAGACAGTTTAATAGACCCTTTCATGTCTCTACAATTGTTACAATAAACAGTTGGGGATTTCTTAATGCATAATTTCCGGCCAAGAAAAGGTGGCGGTAGATTTTGTTTTACCAGGAGACATTTAAGAATATTCATTCTTAAGATCTAATATATACATACAATAAGCTGATCACTTAATTTGTCTTTGTGGTTACAATCACCTAATTATTTTCTCTCATTTACTGTATAAACCAAAAAAAAAAGTCCCTCCAAAAACTGAAAAGTGATATATCAGGAAGAGGAAATGACACAGGTTACCAGATGAGACTATACCAACACCCAAATCTCTGATATCAAGGCCAGCATGGCAGTAAAGCAATCTATACCCATCAAAAAGGCCAACAGGTAAGAGAAATATGCCAAGGAGATCAACAGATATGCACAAATTTGGGCAGGTTTCCAAAAATGTCCTAGTAACTTCATAGCTAAATTTAATTCAAGGAAAAGATGTAAGTTGAAATAGACATAATGGGAATAAGATGTTAGCAACCAATTACATCTTCTTTCATCTTTGAAAAATATAGTTTAGCTATAAAGGAAATAAAGAGTAACCAGGATTTCATTTTAAAAATGTAAAACAATATTAACTTTTCATCTAAAAACCTACTAATTTCCTAATTTTCAATTTCATAGTAAACAAAATGTATTTACCAGTTCATCACCAAATTATTTTTTACAAAACCTTAAAGGGGTTTCTCTATCCCATGCTACAACAAAGTAACTGTAGTTTTAAAAAACAGGCCAGGCACAGTGGCTCACACCTATAATGCCAGCACATTGGGAGGCCGAGGCAGGAGAATCACTTGTACCCAAGAGTTCGAGACCAGCCTAGACAGCAAAGTAAGATCCCATTTCTACAAAAAAATGTAAAAAGAAAAATTAGCCAGGCACACTTGTGCCTGTCTATAGTCCCAGCTACTTAGGAGGCTGAGGAAGGAGAATCACTCAAGCCGAGGACATCAAGGCTACAGTGAGCTGTGATTGTGCCACTGCACTCAGTCTGGATAACAGACTGAGACTCTATCGCAAAACACAAAGAAATTCAGATCTTCGTATTTTCCTCAGAAAACTTTCATTTCATATTAGGATCTGTTCACTGCATTTTTAAGGCCTTAAGAAAAATAATCATCACTTCACCTCTACATCTGTTCTCTGAGAAGTGATCAACTTGCCATGTCATTCTAACTGTAACTAAGAACGCTGAAACAGCAGACCATATATTAGGATTTACCCTCGCTGGCTCATTCCACCAGCTAGCTAATTCACAAATATGAAAAATTACAATCTACCTTTAAAACACGGTTTAAAATAGCACACTTAGAGAATTTTTCACGAGGTGAATCACTTCCTCACATTTTAGCTCTAAGTCCAAAACACAAGTCTGTGTCACCACGATCCCTCTAACAACCCTCCATTTCACTGCATACCTGTGGGGCTTGACTGGCTGCTGGCTTTCCTGCTCTTTTGCTACTAGATGTCCCTCTCCCTGGTTGCCTCCAGAGTTTGCAGACCTTTTGGTATGAAGTAAATCATCCACTTTCCCACTATTGCAAACAATCTCAGGATATTTAAAAGCGATTTTCCCTCTCAAGTAATAATGAATTTGCAAGATGTCTGACACTTTGATCTATCTGTATTTATCAACCTACTATCTTTCAGCAGGATTAATTTGCCAGGCATACAACCTTTAAAGGGAGGGGAGAAAAACAACATAACCATTAACAGCATTTCCAGTTCCACGTTTTTCATTCTTTGTGGATCACAGAGTGTTTCAGAGACGGTAATATAATTGAAAAACTAAACTGCACTGACGGGATAAAATGTCAATATTCCTTTTAGATGTCATAGTCCTTTTCTGTGTTTCTAACAGAAATGTTGGCCCCAATTTCTCTCATAAAAGCACATTCCCAAAAGATAAATACCTCCAAAGAAAACACATCTTTTGGAAAGTTTAGAGGTAAACTCTGAAACAACTGCTTTTGGAAGGGGCACCCTTACAGCTCAGTTTGCCTGAGGCTGTCCTGTGTCATGTTTGTGGTCTTGGTATAATTATTAATAGCACTGTCTATAATTCTCAGAAGTGTTCCATTATGGACAATAAACTACATGCTCACCCCAGCTTTAGGTTGTATCTCCTTTAGCATTAATATAGCCATCCATTCACCTTGAACAATCTTTAATATTTCAGAATACTATCCCAAGAAAACTCATCCCTAATAATCATGCCCCTCCCCTTCTGTCCTAGACTACAGCAAAGAACAGAAAGATCTCTGCAGATCTTGATTGCCTTGTACTAAAGTAGGCTCCTAAGATACCCTTCTCTCACCATGGCTGACTCCCACCTAGTAATAGAAGCTTATGATAGATATCAGAAGAATATAACTACTCCCAGATCCCACAACCTTTGATTCTTGTATCCAAAAAATAGGGAAAAGAAACATTCTGCATTTCTGACTATTGTACTCCTCATTGAATACTCTCATACAATTTTTTTTTTTTTCAATACGGAGTCTCACTCTGTTGCCCAGGCTGGAGTGCAGTGGCATAATCTCGGCTCACTGCAATCTCCTCCCCCTAGTTCAGGCAATTCTCATGTCTCAGCCTCCCGAGTAGCTGGGATTACAGATGCTGGTCACCTCATCTGGCTAATTTTTGTATTTTTAGTAGAAACAGGGTTTTACCACATTGGCCAAGTTGGTCTCAAACTCCTGATCTCAACTGATCCACCCACCTTGGCCTCCCAAAGTGTTAGGATTCCAAGCATGAGCCACCATGCCCAGCCTCTCCCACAAATCTTTCTAACTCTCCTACTAGTTCTCTATTGGGTGTCACAGAATCAGTATATATTGCAGGTGGAAAACATGTACTCCTCTTTCTCAGGAGTAAGGAAACTGAAGCAACAGTCAGCTTAGGTTATCTCACAAAATTCACCTTTCAAGGAAACTAGTTCTATAATTAGAATCACATTGGGATCACAAGCAGGGGCTAGATTTTCCAAACCTTCGCAAGGATCTCTGATTAAAATAGGTCACCAAGACCAGACATTCCCTCCCCCTGCTAAAAAATAACAGATTATAAAGTTAAATTACTGTCAACCATGTTTTTCCATGACCCTGCAGAATCAAGGCGGAGTCAAAGGTACTGAGAACCCAATGAAGATCCCTGGGCATGTTGCCCCCCTGCATTACACACAACACTAAGTTTAAATTAATAGACCTTAAGTCAATGGGAAGCACAACGAAAAAGAATAAAAGCTAACCACTTCTCAATGTGGTAGTACCAAAAGAAAAAAAAATTTAAGTGTATCAGCCCACATAATAGATAAGAACATGTTGCTCTTACCAAACCAAGATGGAAATTTACTGCAATAGATTTATGTCAGTGTGGCTGTTGCTGTATGACAGCAGGATATACGCTCACAAAAACAGCATTACAGTGAGATGATGGCTACCTCTTCCTCATAAAGCAGCCTCCTCCACCATAAACTCTTACTCATGAAAAAGACAAGAAATATTATTTAGTCTATTATTTTACCTTTAATAAACCAAATCTAAGCCACCTAAAACAAATCTAATTATCTGTTTTCAAAGGCCCTTCCTATCCCTGCCCCCAAATCTTTTTTTAATTCCGTAATCTCTGAAAAAAAAAAAATAGTTACAGAAATCCAAAGGCTGAAATGTACATATTTAAATTTTCCTATAAATTCAAGTGTGGCTTAACAGGAATAAAACAAGAAAATAAGCATTTTTGAATTAAAGTGATTAAAACTTGATTTAGACTTATTTTATTTAAAAACGTATCTAAAACACTAAAACTACCTTAGGGTTTATTCTTTCTGGGTAAAATGACTAACTCCCTAGAGCCAGTCTTGAAATTAATTGTCTAAAAGTCAGAAGCGCTAAAGAAATGAGTAAGGCATTCTTTTTTTTTTTGAGACAAAGTTTCACTCCATCACTCAAGCTGGAGTGCAGTGAAGCAAACTCAGCTCACTGCAACCTCTGCCTCCCAGGTTCAAGTGATTCTTGTGCCTCAGCCTCCCCAGTAGCTGGGATTACGGGCTTGTTGGCCAGGCTGGTCTCAAAACTCCAAACCTCAGGTATCTACCCACCTCAGCCTCCCAAAGTGCTGGGATTACAGGCATGAGCCACCGCGTCCGGCCGAGTAAGGCATCCTTACACTAGACAATACAAACTCCAAACTACTCATTATACCATATTTCATGAACTCTAAGATGCCACTAATGGGAGGATGAATCATTATTTTATATTCCACTAAGAAAAGAAAAGCTGTCAATTAAATGTGAGCTGTCATGGACCTAATATCATGCACCCAATATCAGTGATAGCAAAATGTGAAGAAAAAGTGTATCTTAGAATCAGTGAAATACCCTCAAATTCCTATATACATCCATCTTTTTGCAATGCAGATATAATTTATAGTCTTCTGCAATCAAAAACATTGAAATGCAAAAAAATTAAAATCTCTTACCTTCTGTACACTCAGGAAAGGTATCAATGAGGGAATCTGAGTGAGCTTCAGCAGGACCAATTAATTCAGAACTATCATTAATTATTCCACCCTAAAAAGATAACAGCAATTGTGTTTCATTAGCATTAAGAGAATGAACAATACTAAATAAAAAATAGTTGTCCCAACTAAGCATGTATAAAGATTTACAGAAACAACTATTTTAATCTATTAAATAACTAGATGACAAGTGTTTTCAAAAAAATTGATAGATATATCAGTATTGGTTCATCAGCTGTAACAAATGTACTGTACCAATCCAAGATATTTAATGAAAGAAACTGAGGGTTGGGGGGAAGAAGACATATATGAGAAAACTGTACTTTCTGCACAATTTTTATATAAAACTAAATTGCTCTAGAAATAGACTGTTGTTTTAAAATTCAATAGGAATCTTAGCATTTAGAATAATATATGGTTTCTTATAAAAGTGTATTATTTTAATTCTGCCCAAGTACCCATTAAGCAAATACAGAAGAAAAAAATAATGAACTAAAGAATATTGTTCAGTATCCTTAGGGACTGGTCATTTTAATTAGTGATAAATGATGGCCCATCAGGAATTCATTGAATTTTATCAAATTATACCCTACAATATATCACACAGCACCTCAGGTGATTTGAGAAGCCTTTTAAAGTTTGAGAACCACTTGTATACAATATAGGTTAAAACTAAAAATATTTAACGTACTTTTAGTAGAGGTATTTTTTAAAATATAAAAAATAAATATAAAATTGATTTATCTATGTGGTCATTATTTTAATTTCCTATTGAGGTTTGCAAATTCATGCCTCAAAAAGTTATCTTACTCTACATGCAGCTAGAGAATGTTATCATCAGACAAGTAGTGGTGGTATGAGGTTGTGCTATGGCTTTGTGAAAGGAATGCTCCAATCACAGATAAGAGCTTATAATCCTTAAATAATTAAAACAATAGCTCTTCTGCTCCTTAATATCTTCCCTTCTACCTTCCACCAACAGTTCTATGCCTCCAAACACTACTAACAGAATAATAAAGCTCAAAAGAATTACAAACCCACATTTTCTCTCTACTTCAGCACAAAAAAAACTCAATGACTATCTTTACCTAATCAGAAGTCTCTCTCTGCCCATTTATTTTTAAGGAATGAAATTTGAAATGGTCCCTCTCAAATTACCAAATTTTACTTCCCTGAGTGTTACATAAAATAAAACTTTAAAAATGATTATTATCTTTAGGAGTAAGAATTTGTATTACTTTATTCTATACTTTATTACAATATTCAGATTACAGCTTATACTTAAATTTTTCTCCAAAAAGAATATCTAGCCTAGATTAAGCCATCCTTTAACAACACCCAAATCAAATCAAGATTTTCAAGTACTATAGAAAATATTAAAAGACAAAGTTAATTTTAGAAGAAAGTATCTCTCAACTATTAACTGCCTCTTCTACCACTAGGTTTGTGATTTAAGTTACCTACCTATAAAATGTCTTCTAAGACATTATTTTATTTTACATATTTCATGCAAAGTATTCAGAACAGTCAATAAATAAAGCACTCAACAAATGTGTATTATTAGTTAACATAAGATCTTATAAGATAAAATTCAAAATGTAAAATGTTTTACCTCATAATCCCAAATTTGTATCTAGTTTAACAAACACTGCTATAAAAAATAAATGATAAAGAACAAATCTTTAATGAAACAAAAACTGTTACACAGGAACTAGAGGGATGTAGCAGTAAAATAATGCCACAATCCTAATTTTTAATTCCTAATTCAAAAATAACCATTTGGGTATTTCTTGTATGCAGTAAAAAAAATTTCATAGAAATATATCTCAACGTTTTTTGTTAATGAAGAGTCTAGCAGGGAAGGACTTCTGGTATAGTGGGGTGAGGAAATCAGCAAATCTTTCCCTAAAAAGCAATTACAAATCTTTAGAAATCTGTCAAAACCACCAATGAGGGCTCTGGAAATCGACTAAAAGCATAAAGCAAATGAAACAGTGGTTACTGAGAAACCACAGAACCACAGATAAGAACTATGAAAATCCGTGACGTTCTTGCCTCTGTTCTTTCCATCCCACAACCTAGCTGGGTGGCCACAGTAATTCTCTAAGAGCAAGGCAAGTCTTGAAAACCAGTAGGTTCACTTTTGAGGAGGCTAACATGATTTGGATTGAAGCACAGAAAAAAATTTAAAAATCCACCCCAAATATTATTGTCAATAATAGTAGCAATCTCAAGGCCAAATACATGGCAAGAAAAAGTGATAGCTCAGCACACCTGAAGCTGCAGTCATCAAAAGATCAGACAGCAGGGAGATCCTGAAAATAATACAGCCATAGGGAGTCTAAATAAAGCTCATGACCCATCCATGTAATGAGACCAGAGAGGGGTCAAGCTATCCAACAATACCTTGCAAACCATGAGACAGTGCACAGGCATAGAGGAAATTCAAGACTTCAGAGGATTAGTAAAAGCCAGGGCAAATTTTAAAACAGCTGAGACTCTGAGAATACATTTAAAAATCATCAGCATTAAAAGAAAAGCATATAATGGCACAAGTGTTTAAGCACAAGCAATGACCGAACACTGGCTGACCACAAAGCTATGACACAGGGCTAACCCCTACAGAGCCTGGCTTAAAAATAAAATTAAAATTAAATATTGAGCAGGGATACCAGTAGCCACACACTTAACAGGAAATGGACTCCACAGATTGACTACAGACTACACTAACAGAAAATGCCAGTTACTAAACAAACTAACAGAAAATGGCAAGAACCCTCAGGGAGAAAAAAAAAATCAGAACTAGAGTTCTACAGTATATTATCCATAATGTTCAATTTCCAACCAATAAAAAAAATTAAGAGACATGCAAAGACACAGAAAAGTATGTGACCCAAACATGGGGGTAACCAGTCAATCAGAACTATCTGTGAGGGAACAAAGATGTCGGACTTGGCAAAAACTTCAAAGCAGCTATTATAAATATGCTCAAATTATCAAAGGAAAACATGATTAAAGAATTAAAAGGACTAAGACTCATAAAATAGCATATATAAATAAATCTAAATTATTTAAAAAGGATCAAATGAAGCATTTTTCGTAACAGCCATAAGCAACGACAATTTGAATGACTATCAACCAATGAACAGACTAGCAAAATGTGGTATATTCATATCCATTCCATGAAATATTATTTAATCACGATAAGGAATAAACCACTGATACATGCTACAACCTGGATGTACCTTGAAAACATAAACATATGTATACACATACACATCCTCTAAATCTAATTAAAAAAACTTCCCACCTAAATTCCACTCCTAGATATGTATCTAAGAGAAACAAAAATACATGTCTGCACAAAAACGTGTATGTCAATATTCATAACAGCACCATTCACAACAGCCAAAAGGAGAACAACCCAAGTTTGTACCAACACACACTGTAGATAAATAAAATGTGGTATATCCATAGCCCATACAAAGGAATATTATACAGTCGCAAAAAGGAATAAAGTACTGATGCATGCCACAACATGAATAAACCCTTAAAGCATACTACTATGTGAAAAAAAAACACATTTTCATTCAAAATAGCATAAGATTAAAATGCTTACAACTAAATTTAAGGCAAGAAGCCCCAGACTTACACCCTGAAAACTACAAAACGTTGCTTAAAGAATTTAGAGAATATCTGAATAAATGTAGTCATTTCATTTTCATGGATTGCAAGGTAATATTGTTAAAATGACAATTTTCCCCAAACTGAACTACAGAGTCAATACAATTCCAATCAGAAATCTGAGGAGTAAGCCAAAATAGCTCAGTTGGGAGAGAATCAAACTGGAGAATTTTCGCAGGTGTTTCCAATACCTTTGGCCAGGTGTGGTGACTCACACCTGTAATCCCAGCACTTTGGGAGACTGAGGCAAGAGAATTATTTGAGGCCAGGCATTCAAGACCAGCCTGAGAAACACAGTGAGACCCTGTCTCTACAAAAATTTAAAAATTACCTGGGCATGGTGGTGCATGTCCTAGCTACTTGGGAGGCTGAGGCAGGAGAATCCCTTAAACCCAAGAGTTTGAGGTTAAAGTGAGCTATAACTGTGCTACTGCATCCCAGCCTGGGTGACAAAAATGAGACCCCAATTCCTTAAATTAATTAATTAAATAAATAATTTTAAAATTATTTATTTTAAAAAAGATTTAAAAATAATTTTTTGTTCACATAGATAAGCTGATGCTAAAAATTTTTATGGAAGTTGAAAAGTTGAAAGAACTCAAAATTGCCATAACAATTTTGAAAAAGTAAAGTAAGCAAACTTACACTAGCTGATTCCAATACTTAAAAAGCTACAATAATCAAGACAGTATGGTACTAGCATAAGAACAGGCACATAAATTAATAAAACATATCAACAGTCCAGAAATAAGTCATCACATTTGCAGTCAATTTATTTTCAGCAAGTACGCCAAGGTGATTCAATAAGGATAATCTTTTCAACAAATGATGCTGAGAATATTAGCTATACACATACCAGAAGATGAATTTAAACTATTACTTCACACCCTATATAAAATGAACTAAAAAAGAATCATAGACCTATCAGTAACATTAAAACTTCTAGAAATCTAGAAATAAACACAGAAGAAAACCTTCATGATCTTGGGTTACTCGAAAAGTTCCTGGGTATGACAGGTATAACCCAAAAAAGAAAAAAATATTATAAATTATATATCATCAAAGCTAAAAGCTTTTGCACTTCAAATGACACCATTAAGAAAACTAAAAGGCTACAGATTGGGGAGAAAATATTTACAAATCACTTATCTGATAAGATTGTTTATCCAGAATATATTCAGAACTCTTACAACTCAATGACAACCCAATCCAAAAAATTGGTAGATTTTAATGGATGTTCCACCAAAGATATATATGAAAAAAAGCACAGGAAAACATGTTCAACATCATTAGCCATTAGGAAACTGAAATTAATACTACAATGAAATACCACTGCATACCTGCGAGAAGACCTACAGTTAAAAAATCAGACAATACCAAGTGTTGGTGATTTTGTGAAACAACTGGTAAGTTCAGACATTACTGGCTGAATATGAAATGGTACAGTCCATTTAAAAAACAGTTTAGCAATTTCTTAAAAACGTGAACTTACCATAAGACCCAGCAATTCCTCTCCTCAGGAATCAATCAAGAGAAATGAAAACATGTATCCACACAAAGATTTATATGCAAATAGTCACAGTAGCATTAGTCATAACCACCAAAACAGAAACATCCAAATATGTCCATCAATTTATCAACTAATGAAAAAAATGTGGTATCATCTGTACAATGAAATACATTTCAGCTATATAAAGGAATGAAATACTGGTATATAATATAACATGACTGAAGCTCAAAAACATTATGCTAAGTAAAAGAAACCTACATACATATATTGTGAACAAAACACTACATATATTATATAGTTCCATGTATTTGAAATGGGGAGGAAAGGCAAATCTACAGACAGAACCAGGCAGTTGCCCCAGGGTAGGGATGGAAGAGGGGATCACCATAGGGAGCTTACACAGCAGTGAGGTAATGGAAATAATCTAAAATTGGATGTTGGCCGGGCACAGTGGCTCACACCTATAATCTCAGAATTTTGGGAGGCCGAGGCAGGTGGATCACCTCAGGTCAGGAGTTCAAGACCAGCCTGGGCAACACTGAGAAACCCTGTCTCTACTAAAACTACAAAAAGTTGCTAGGTATTCTGGTGCACACCTGTATTCCCAGCTACTCAGGATGCAGAGGCAGGAGAATCACTGAACCCAAGGGGCAGAGGTTGCAGTGAGCCAAGATCACACCACTGCACTCCAGCCTGGGCAACAGAGCAAAACTCCATCTCAAAAAAAAAGAATAAAATAAAATTGGATGTTGGTGATAGGTGCAAAACTCTATAAATTTACTGAAAATCAGTTAATTGTACACTTAATTAGTAACTGTACTAATGAACAACCAACCAACCAGTAAAGAGTATGAGATGGAAAGATGTAGATAAAACAAGTTTGGCAATATACCAATAATTTCTGAAACCAAGCAATGGGTCATAGAGGTTCATAATACTATTCCTTCTACTCTTAGGTATGTGTTTTTTTAAAGTCAATGTAAGTAAGTGGCTATATGGTCATTTGCATGTGGCAGCATCAATGTTTCTAAAGAGAAAAATAAACTATGATACTATAGCACACCCTGTGAATTAGCTACCCCAAAATCTTCCCACCCTACCTTCATCCATGATCAGAACTAGAAAGCTAAGAGTCACCTTCCCAGACTCCTTCAAATTAAGGATGGGCATGTGACCCAGTTCTGGCCAATGAGATGTAAGAAGGACTATCTCTAGATCATGTTTCTAGGAAAGCTTTTAAAAACTGACATATTTCTTTTTTTTTTTTTTTTTTTTTTTTTTTTTTCTTGAGACGGAGTTTCGCTCTTGTTACCCAGGCTGGAGTGCAATGGGGCGATCTCGGCTCACCGCAACCTCCGCCTCCTGGGTTCAGGCAATTCTCCTGCCTCAGCCTCCTGAGTAGCTGGGATTACAGGCACGCGCCACCATGCCCAGCTAATGTTTTGTATTTTTAGTAGAGACAGGGTTTCACCATGTTGACCAGGATGGTCTCGATCTCTTGACCTTATGATCCACCCGCCTCGGCCTCCCAAAGTGCTGGGATTATAGGCTTCAGCCACCGCGCCCGGCCAAAACCAACATATTTCTTTTGGCCTTTTGCCTTTCACACCCAAATCCAGGAACCTATGTCACTGACAACATTACTGAGCTCTCTATGCCAGCCCTGGACTACCGTCCTCACTCATCCTTCTTGTCATATAAGAAATAAGCCTATTTTTTTGTTGTTGTTGTTCAAGCTAATGTAATGAGCTTTTTTTTTTTCCTGCTTGGTTTCTCTTATTTAAAATGACTGAAGGCCACTGTTGTGATATTACCAAATCAGTATCCTGCAGGATTGAAGATAGTTCTAAGATACTTTCCAAGATTAGCTTGACTTCTCTTAAACTGTCCAATCTTTCAAAAACCCTGAAAATGACAGTCTTGTTTCCCAGTGACTTCCAGCAACAGTTACAATCAGGAAGAAATATTATAAACAAGTAACTTTTACTTAAACTGTTTAGTCTTTAATCTGACTTCCATAATCCGTAATTTTTTTTAGCTGTATGGCATGTGGTAATTTGCATGACAGCTTTTCACAATTTCTATAAAGCAATATTCTTGTTTAATAATAATGTCTTTTTCCATAAAAAACAGACTCCTTGACACACAGAAACAATTATAACAAAGCACAGCAAAGAGCTAAATATTCTATCAATTTAACTTGGCCTTTATCCTAAAGATCTGCATTGGGCCATATGCAGAAACCAAATTTATTATCTCAGTCTCATTTGCAGAATGGGGAAAAATTAAGCAACATGGTCAATCATCAGGAATGTTATTGTTACTACAAATTCTACTATGACTATCCTTTATTTCTATTACTGTAAATCTGCAATGTATTTCAAAAGAACTTTCTTCAGTAGATAAAACAGATCATAAAAAAATAAATTCCTGGATGACAAAGCACTGGCAGAAAAACTAAACAAAGAAATAAATAACTACATGTAGATCCACTAGCATCAGAAAAATCAAATATCCCACTATTCATATATATCCCTGGTTATACAGTCAAAGAAATTTAACTTACACAAGTAAGTAGATTTTAGTTAAAGTAGTAAAAACAATTATGGCACAATCACTTAGGTTTCTTCTTTTTTTTTTAAGAAGGCTAATTCAATGCAATAGGAAAAATGTGATAATTAAATACAATGATATAACTGTCAACATGTACAGATTCAGTTCAAAATAAATTAGAAAAATTATTATTTAAAATGGTAAAAAACTTAAAATGAAAGCATTACATGTCTACGAATTTAAAACACTAATATCCAATGATCTCCAGTAACAAAATTTGCACTGGCCTGCTCTCTTAAACTGTGCAGTGTTACATATCTTTACAAACAAGTCAATATAGTTATAACAAATTTAATATAGACTTACAGTGGCTTATATCCCAAGAGAAAGCTGCCACTGAAACAGACACCTCAAAAAGTAAAGGCAAGAACTGGAGTTTCAGGATAATTAATTTTTTTAATGTATTTCAATTATGACAGAGAGAGTTAAATTATCTCTAAGCTCTTTGCATCAATTTTTTAAGCTCTATGAGTCAAAAACACTCAGGAGTCTGAGACAAAAGGAGGCTTGAGCCCAGGAAGTCAAGGCTGTAGCATGCCATGATCACACCTGTCAATGACCACTGAACAACAGCCTAAGCAATATAGCAGAACCAATTCCAAAAAACAAAAAAGCATACATTTCTACATTAAAAATAGGAACTACGCCATAAACATTATGATAGAGCTATTAATTTCTACTTTTAAAGTGAATAATAAAATTCAAAAGTAAATGACATTTTCTATATTACTTTATTACAAATTATAAAAGTATTTAATAAGATATAAAATATTCCAGAAAGACTACCAAACCTTGAAAAAATCTTCAAGCTGTTTACTATTGTAAAGAGCAGGAATATTGGCAGAGAACTGCAGCAGGTCTTCAGCACACTGTCTTCTCTCTTCAATAACAGTTTCATCAAATCGCCCTACAATTAAATAAGCATCAACACTTTAAGGGAGGAATGACCAAACACTGGTATATGATAGTTTATGTACACAGATAAGAAAGCAGCAGCAGGGCTATCACTTAGTTGCTTTGTTTATTATGCAAACTTCTGAAGTCAAATCTAATCTCTACAATTAGAATCAGCAGTACTCTCACTAGAAAAGAAAATGTTTCTAATAAAACAAGAGGCAGAGGTGTCAACTGATAAATAAATGGTACATTCATAATTTAGAGCCTGTCAATATAAGAAAGTTGCCATTTAAGAAGCTAGTGATTTGAAACTAAAGTTGAAAAGAGAATTTTAAAGAACTGAAATGGTTTTCTATAGTAATCTAATACTGTAATTACTCATGTAATTTTCCCTTTTCTACTTTTTTTGATTTATAAAGGGGCTGAAGAGAGGAAATTATGAGAACATCTGTATTATCAGTGGGGTCAAAAACCTCAGCTTGAAGCAAAAAGCTTTTATGCTAAATTCCATGTGTGATGCTGTCAGCATACATAACAGCATGCTTGTGAGAAAAAAGAACACAAACACAGCACCAGTGAGTTCTGCTTTACAAGGTGATCAAAAGGTGGTTTCCATAGCATTTTTAAATGACATACACAGTTTGAATGCTGATAAGATGTTTTCAAATATGATCATTTTGCATTACTCTTAGACTACCAGTTGACATCTATTATATGCCATGTATCATACTGATTGCAAAGAAAAAATACAAAATCGGAAAAGCAGCAGCATCACATACTTAAACATTTTAAGTGCCTTTGCAGAGTATTAACAGAGAACTGAGGCACAAAGAGATTCCTAGTTATACAGGCAAGTGCCTAAATGACTGGCAAGTGAAACTGAACCACTAAAATATCCTCTGCCCAGTACGTCTCATGCTTATGGTTAAGTGTCTATTTCATGATAACTAAAAGGACCTGAGTTCAAATACTAGCTCTAGCATTCACTAGCTGTAAAATCTTAGGCAGATTATTTCCTCATTTGTAAAATGCAAGAAATGTATAATGTACTTAAGGTTCCAATTCCATGCCAGTCACACAGTAAGCACTTAATAGAATATTATGGTTCTTTGAATCTTCAAGTTCTACAATAGTGACTAAATACAGAGCAAACTTCAGTTGACTGTGTGAATGAATAACAAAAGCTTTTAAAAGCCATGTAAAAATGCATAAATAACTGTCTTGCAGTGAAACATTTTCATAGGTAATCTTTTTTTTTTTTTTTTTCCAGATAGTCTCACTCTGTCACCCAGAGTGATCACAAGCTCACTGCAGCCTCAATCTTCCAGGCTCAAGCAATCCTTCCACTTCAGTCTCCCAAGGAACTGGAACTACAGGCACATGCCATCACAGCAAGCTAATTTTTTTGTAGAGGGAGGGTCTCACTATGCTGCCCAGGCTAGTGTCGAATTCCTGGATGAAAGTGATCCTCCCGGCTGGGCGCGGTGGCTCAAGCCTGTAATCCCAGCACTTTGGGAGGCAGAGGTGGGTGGATCACAAGGTCAAGAGATCGAGACTATCCTGGTCAACATGGTGAAACCCTGTCTCTACTAAAAATACAAAAAATTAGCTGGGCATGGTGGCACGTGCCTGTAATCCCAGCTACTCAGGAGGCTGAGGCAGGAGAATTGCCTGAACCCAGGAGGCGGAGGTTGCGGTGAGCCGAGATTGCGCCATTGCACTCCAGCCTGAGTAACAAGAGCGAAACTCCGTCTCAAAAAAAAGAAAAGAAAGTGATCCTCCCATCTAGGCCTCCCAAAGTGCTGGGATTGCAGGCATGAGCCACAGTACCCAGCCTATAACAGGAAATCTTAATAGTGGGTCCATACACAACCTCTTAGGCAATCGTTCATGGATGGGCTCCAGAGACAACAATCCCACAGAATCCCATGCATATGTACACACAGGTGCACTTTTCTTAGGATAGGGTCTATAACTTTTATCAGTTTCCTGAAAGAGCCCAGGACCAAATAAGGGTCAGCAGGCAAGTGGTAGTCAATTAGAGGATTCCTAACTTTCTGTATGCTGCTTTACTTACTATGGAATAGGCTTTCCACTGCTATCCAAATACTTGTTCTTGCTTTCTTCCCTAATTTTTATTCAAATGGGTATGTGACAGCCCAGGGGGAAAAAAAAACAAAAACTGTAATTGCCAGCTTGCTTGGCACTTAGGCATAGATATAAACTAAGTTCTGGCAAATAGCATATAAACAAGTTATACTGTAGCTTCCCAGAAATCTTTTTGAAAGACAAATGATATACAACCTCTCTCTCTTTCTCTTCTTTGTTCCTTCCCCCTTCCAAGAAGGATCAGGAAGTGAAAGGTTAAAAATGACAGAAGCAGGGTGCAGTGGCACAAACCTATAATCCCAGCTTCTCAGGAGGCTGAGGCCAGAAGGCTCAGCCTAGGCAACACAGCGAGCCTAAATCTCGTTAAAAAAATGACAGAACAACAAGACAGGAGCTTAGATTCTGGATCACTGTGCAGCTGCCACACTTGAGGCTACCTCTAAACCTTTTGCCATGAGGAAGAAATTGACTTATATCTTAAGTTTTCTCACAAATAACCAAACCCAACATAATCCATTATTCTACGTTTTTGTTAGTTCTCAGTTCAAGTGCAACAATTAAACTCAACCCTCCCAATAACAATACCAAACCTAAAATGACACTACTCGCTTATGTATCACTAATATTATCTAGCAACAAATTTGCAAGAACCCCAATAGGTAAAACCAATTATCTGGCTTGAAAACAATCTAAATGATTTAATCCTAGGAAAAAATCTACTGGCCAACTAGATTAAATGTTCATTATTCCTTACTTTGCATAAATAAGAAAGTATGAATCAGTGCTTATGATTATAGTCCAAGATATTTATCCCTTAAAGAAAAATGTAAATTCAATTGCCTATAAATTAATATTAGTAATTCTGTAAACATCTATAAGCTTAGAACAATAACCCAGAAAATGCACACATTATTTTATGTCTCAACCCACTAGACTACCAGAGAATATCTTTGAATGAATGCATTAACTGCTTGTTGAGGAATTTTAATGGAAGTCTTAATATTTAATAGTACCCTAAAAAGAACTTATTGCTATCTGAAACAAATACAAAAAAATTGGAGGCTTTAATCTTCCCCATTAAGCTAAAATAAAATGCTTAAGCAATGGAATAAATGCCAAAAGCACATCTTGTTGTACTTCTATTGATTTATTGTTTCTATTCCACTAAACTTTGACAAGCAGATATGAATTAAGACATTTTTTCAGAATAGTGCACAACCAAAAATAAAGGGTTATGCATTAAAAGTTTCAATCACATTTAATCCTATTATCAGAGCAAAAACGATAAAGGAACATGCTCATTTCTTTGTTCCTAAAATATGTCAGAATAACAACAGAAGAATGGTATTAAGTGGGCAAAGGACATAAACAGAAACTTCTCAAAAGAAGACATACAAGCAGCCAACAGGAAAATATGCTCAACATCACTGTTCATTAGAAAAATGCAAATCAAAACCATAATGAGATACCAACTCACGCCAGTGAGAATGGCTGTTATTAAAAAGGCAAAAAATAACAGATGCTGGCGAGGTTGTACAGAATAGGCAATGCTCATATACAGTTGGTGGGAGTGTAAATTAGTTCAGCCCCTGTGGAAGGCATGTAAATTAGTTCAGCCCCTGTGGAAGGAGATTTCTCAAAGAACTAAAAATAAAATTACCATTTGACCCAGCAATCCCATTACTGGGCATATAACCAAAGGAAAATGAATCATTGTACCAAAAAGACACCTGCATTCTCATGTTTATCGTAGCACTATTCATGATAGTAAAGACATGGAATCAACCTAGGTGCCCATCAACAATGGACTGGATAAAGAAAATATGGTACATACACATAGAACATGGAATACTACACAGCCATAAAAAAAGAACGAAATAATGTCCTTTGCAGCAACATAGATGCAGGTAGAGGCCATTATCCTAAGTGAATTCACACAAGAACAGAAAACCAAATATCACATGTTCTCACTTTCAGTGGAAGCTAAACATTGGGTACATATGGACATAAAGATGGGCACAACAGACACTGGGATCTCCAAAAGTAGGGATGGAAGGAGGGAGACAACTGTTAAGAAACTATCTATTGGATGCTTTATTCACTATTTGGGTGGTAAGTTCATTTGAAGCCCAGATCTCAACACCACACAATATACCCAGGTAACAAATCTTCACATGTACCCACTGAATCTCAAATAAAATAATTTTTCCCATTTCCTGATAAGGATACAATTTTTAAAAATACATTTTTAGGAGACCATTAACACATGAATAGACAAACCACTGACTGGAAGAAAACATTTGCAAAACATCAAAGTATCTAAGATATACAAAGAACTCCAGCCCCACAAAATAGGTAAAACATGGAAATAGATACTTCAAAAAAAACGATATATGAGTGTCTAATAAGCATATGAAAAAATGTTCAGCCTATTAGTCATCAAGGAACTGAAAGTCAAAACCACAGTAAGATACTATTATACACTCCCCAGAAAGGCTAAAATTAAAAAGACTGATAATGCCTCATGTTGGTGAGACTGCGAAGCACCCAGAAATTTCATACATTGTCGATGGGAATATAAAATGATACAAGCACTTTTGGAAAGAGTCTCTTAGTTTCTTATGAAAGTAAACATATACCTATCTTATCATCCAGAAATTACATTCCTAGGTATTTACCCAAGAGAACTATATGTCCATATAAAGATGTTTATAGTAATAGATTTACTTACAGTCACGCTGAACTGGAAACATTCCAGGTGCCCATTGACAGGACAGTGGATAAACAGACTGTGATAGACTTAAACTAAACAGCAGTAAAAAGGAATGAACCCCTGATGAACACAATAGCATGGATGAATCCCAAAAACCTGCTGCATGAGGGAAGCCAGACACAAAAAGT